CTATCCCAAAACAAAGGCATGCATGCTCACCAATTACATTTGCATAATAACTAAATTGTATTATAATGTTAGTATAAAAAATTTTGTCATATACACTGTAAAAACTAAATTCAACATTTGTTGAGATGCTGAGATCTAAGATGAAGAAATAGTTATAGTGGAGTATAGTGTGGGAATGGAGTCAAGGGAATTGTAATAGATAAGTATGATATGGGGGGCAAGTGGGGTAGCGGATTGGGGGAGGGGGGTTGTCACTTTGAGGGGTAAAAAGTATAATTATTGCACTGTGTTGTACAGCTGAAACTAATTTTAAAAAATGTTTATTTCACAATAAAAAATAGATAAATAAAAATTTTAAAAATGTATAATTGCAAATATATTCTAAAATTGCATATTTTTATATAATTCCCACATAAACCCTAATTACATGAAACTAAGTCAAAATGATTCATAAGCATCAACTTAACTTGGTAATTAAAAACATTTACAATCAAAAGAGCTATGAAGATATATCTAATTTTATGTCCTCTTGGCATTTCATAAAAGATAGGAAATATTAATGATCATTAACATACTTTTTACCATGCTATAGGTATATATAAATTAGTGTATCTATCTATCTATCTGTCTGTCTGTCTACACATGTGTATATATATATACACATATATACATACATGTATTTAAAAATACAATTTTATTGCCTAAGGCATTTTCAAATGCAACTTTACTTTTTACTATATGGTGATACTGTGAAACTTGTATTTCCTTTAACTAAAAATAACATAAACCCCATATTATACTTACCCAAGAGCATTTTTTTGCTTTTCTCCAAAATCAAATGGAACAGTTATAACTACATCATTTGCATTTGAGCCCAAGACAGAATGTGCCGTTTCTATATATTAAAAAAAAAAAAAAATAAATTCTGATGGCATAAAACAAGTCAAGTGATACTTTCTGAGGTATATTAATTTGTAGCAAACATTTTCTCACTATAAAGATTTTCCAATTCACATGACTATCCCACCCCATTGATTTTCTTCCCTTATTCTCTTAAATCATGCACAATTTTTTGTGGTTTTGGTATAGTTTGCGGACATAGAACTAGGTACTTTCCAAAGTGCCTGGTTCTTAGGCTTCAAAGTTTCAACCATTTCCCAAATTAGACTGGTTCCATTGAGAATAAGCTTCTAATGAGTCAATGTGAAGACAAACAGCATAATGTTAGTTCAACACATTAAAGGGATATAGTCTATCCCACAAGTTCTTAATGTAACTCCAGAGCTTATGTGAGCCTTATAAATAGCCTACTCTAGAATTTCCTAAATTGTTCCAAAGAATGCCACTCAGCCCCAGCCTTTGTCCAAAGTGGTGATAAAACCAGACCTACCTAATATGCCTAAATATTATTGAGAGTGCGCACTCAACCTTAGAGAGGGAGATACGATATTTACTCTTCACCATGCTTATTTTGGCCACTTCATCTTAAGAAGTTTTGAAAATGCCAATCTTGCCCAAGCCATTTACGTTACTTCTCCAGAAATCAAAGTCAGGGAAGGTAAGTCATTTAACCATGGTCACATGGCCAATTAGTGGCCCCGTCAGATCTCGAGTATAAGTCTCCTGACTGCTCATCTGCTCCATTACTTGTTTCTCCCTTCGTCAAAAAATACACCTAATGTTTTTTTTAATGGTCAACTCTTACAAGATTTTCTCTTTGGCTCAGTACCTTTCATTTTACTAAATATCAGTCTGGCAACATCTTCTGGATTAACAAATTTTGTTTCTTCTCCAGTATCTATTTCATATTGTAATTTCCCATTTTTTTCAATGACCTATAAAGGAAATTATTTGTGTTAAATAAGGAGTAATTTTAATAAAAATACAAAGTTTCAAACCAATACTACAGGTCAACACCGTAACAATTACTTTATGTAACGGGGAATAATAGAACCATACTCACTATACATTTACTTTCTGTGATGTATTTCTGAGCCTGTGGATCATCAGAGCTGTCCATAGAGATAAAGACAGTTAAGTATTAAAATCAGTATTGTTGATATATAAGGTTTAAAGAACATTACATACATTCAACACCACTGAACAAATATAAAAATATAAACAAAAACATTACATTGCTTAATATTTTAAAAACTTCAAATATTACAGATAGGATTAAATGAATGGAATATTTATAATGGTTATAGTAATTCTATTAAGGTGTTACTTTTTTGCATTTGAAAGTAAATAGCTTTTACTTTTTTTGATCTTGCTATTAACAGATGCTACATTTGGAGATGATTTTCATCATATTAATGATTCTATGTCATATACTCTTACATCTGTAATCCTGAAGACCCAAACCACTGAGATAAAAAGAACAAAAAGATTGCAAACTAAGGGCAAACCAGCATGCCTAACACCTTCTTGGTTGCTTGTTTTCTGAACGTGAATCTACACCCAAAATTTAAAAAGTGAGCACAAGTACAAATGTCATATACATATAGGGAGAGGTACAGAGTACTATAGATAGATAGACCTATAATGTCCTATACAAAGTAGGTATTAAATAAATGTTCATGGCAATGAAAAAATTAAGACAATGGGTGTTATATTGCTCAACACAGCAATACCAATTTATGTGGACTACAAAATGTTTTCACATATATTACCTCACTTGATCTTTACAACACTTAAATGGGGTTGGTTTGGCAGGTGTTATTTTAGAGGTAACAGGTTCATAGAGGGTCAATGACTTATAAACTAATAAGGGGCAGTCAGTACTTGATCCCAGGTCTTTTCTATCAAGCTACAGTTGTTCACACTTTATGTGACTGCCCAGCAGTAAGATGGTGCATGATTGAAGTACTTCTGCCCCTTGAACCGGAATGGGAGTCTTTGATCCTTGGTTTAATTTCATCTAGAAATTAAGATGAAGTAGATCTTTCCACTAAACCCTTCTTCCAAGGAGCTGTGACTATTCTGTTCAGAGACCAGTCTTAAATGTTCAATAAAAGGTGAAAATTAATAGCGACTAATTGCTGAGGGGTTACTGAATATCCAAGGACCCTAATCTGTGTAAATATTAGGAAGACAAAAGGAGTTTAAAATGGACTAATTCGGCTTAGAACTCTGGCTGGAATCCTTGCAGATTCCTCATACTTCCTTCCCTATTACCTACAAATTGATAGAGGAAACAAGTAACTTGCCCAAAATAGCATGGCTAATTAACGGCAGAACTGGCAGGAATCCATATCTTTCATACAAAAATTTAGTATTCTTTCCATTAAACCCTCCCTTCCCTTTGTCGAAACCCAGTATTTAGATTATATCCTGGACAAATATATTGATTAAGAAAAAAAGATGGAAGTGTGCCCATAGTAATTTTGTTGCACCATTATTTGTGCACACCAGACCAGTTCTTTCTTTACAATAGACTTTTAAGTCAACCAGTATAATTTATTCTATTGTGTGAAGGTTATCTATCACTCAGACAAGATAATTTGCTGGGAAAGGATCTTTTATGAACTTTACAGAACTCTTAGAAATGAAAAATTATTTTTCAACTGTTACGCAAAGAGGGCGTCTCTCATGTGAAGACAGAAAGCACACATAGATCTTGGGGCCATAGATAGGCCAGACCCTGGAGATTAGCTAGCAGAGCAGAAAGCAGAGAATAGAGGTAGCAAACGATCGTGGACAGTGCCAGAAAGTAGCGGACTGACCCACAACTACATACAAGTAAAAACTTTATTGTCCACACCAGGATTGAATTAAATAACAGAAAAACAAAGGGTGGTGGGAGGTTGGTGTACATAGCACCCCATTTACATCACGGTCTCTAGGAGGCGAGTGTTAATTCAACCATTGTGTCACAACCTTTCCCAGCAATGCCATTTTCTTCCTCCTCCGTCCATAATTGTCTCTTGCACAGTCAGCAGGCCCTCAGACCTGGCGCACACCAGCTCTAATGTGCCACAGGGTCCTCGTCCCTGCTACTGTCACAGTACAGTACCTTCCATGTCTGAGTTTTTACATTCATTTGACCCTCACAACATTCCTGTGAGAGAGGTAGGATAGTTAGTAGTTTCCCACTTCAGAGGTGAGGATCCTGAGTTACAGCATGGTGAAATGACCTGCTTAGGACGGACCGGTAGCAACGGTTGGGCCTGGAGCTTAGGTGGGATTTCTGGGCTTGTTTTCTTCACGCAACCTCCCCTTAGTACAACTTCCCTTCTCTTACCAATATTTTGCCTATTTTTCTGTTTACTTCTTGAAGACCTTTCCCTTTAGTTTTATTCGCACATTAAGGTTACTTCACCCATTATATTTTCACAATACTACCTCCAAAGTTGAACTCCACTTCTGTTCTTCAACACTTCTGTCATCTCACATAAATCTTCACCTATGTGTTTTGCTATCATTCATAGATTAAGGTAGTACAGGCCTAATTCTCCTTCAAGAACTTCCCTGTTTTTACAGAAAGTCTATCTACCTACATCATCTAGTGTTATCTAGTTATAACCGACACATATCCCTCCATATAATGGCCTACAGGAATTTAGAAAACCTGTGTGTGTGTGTATCCATTTCAATGCCCTAACATATACTCCTTTAAAAGCAAGGAATCTTTGTCTGGCGTGGTATTTATAGAAGTTCAGTACATTAATAAATACTAATTCCGTAGAATGCTTCCTTAAAATACAATTGTTACCAGTATTTCAAACATAAATATGTGGCTGTGACTGAAAATACTACAATTAAAATTTCATTTTGCCTTTTTTGTTATGCTGTGTGTCAGAGTTTTAGAACTGGAAGGTACTAGAAAAGCATCGGATACAAATCTCTCATTTTAGAGATAAAGAAGTTGAGGCACAAAAAGGGCAAGTGATTTTTCCCATAGAGCCGACTGTGACAGGATCAGAACCCAAGTTTAACTCGAGTCCAGTGTCTGTACCACACCAGCTGCTTCCGAAAGCCATCCCCTACTCATCAGAGCAGCTCGCTTGCTTGCCACCAAGTCATGGTTCCAGGTACATTCCCATTGTTGTTTCGACCGCTTCTCTGTTTGTATGTCCAGCATTAAGCACCCAAGCCTGCAAAATATAAAATCTCTCCCAACATGCTCACATCTTTTTTTTTTCCAGCCTCTAGATGGAAGGAAAACTGTTTAAAATCCAAGGCTCCTATTTCCTGAAAGTACTAAGTAAATCAATAAAAGCTTTAAGTTAGTTTAATGATGGCCAATAATGGCTTCCATTCTAAAGTAAACTGGAAATATGGCTCAACACCTTTCCACATCCCAAAGGAAGGGTGTGTATTTTGGGGGGAAAAGGGAATTGGTTTGTTGAGCGTTTGTGCTTAAAAGTTTATTGCAGGCAGTCTTTATTCACACCACCCTCAACTGTTCTCTTCTACCATATGCCACTCACTAGGTGAACTTTCTTTCATCTATACCATGTGAGAAAAACTGATTTTTGAAATTTCCCTAGAAGGAAAGTTTTCTAGGGCTTGACTTCTATAACACATGACAGAGAAAAAAGGCTAACAGAAGAGAATGAAATTAGCTAAAAGCACTTGAGAAACTGATATAACCTGAATTCTTTCCATGATGTTCAAATGGCAACCCAAACCTAAATATATATAATCATACATGTAAAGGGAACCTAGTAATATGAAATGCAAAGAATTTACTTACATTCAATATTTTATAAAACACACTATATCTCATTATACCAAAGATTATCAATATGAACCATAACACATGATTGTGGCTCCCTGTCAGTTCTGAATTATATTCTTATAGAGACTAAGACTTATCAAAATGGAGGGAATGATGGTTTGACTACTGAGTGTGTACTAGTAGGTATGTCATAGACATAGCAGTGAAAATGAGAGGAAGGTACCAATACATGTCATGTCTATAGTAGTCTTGAGCTATAGAGTTATTAAAAAAAAATAGAAATGAAGATCTCAAACTCCAGGAAGCAGTCAAGTTAAACTAATAAAGTTTCAAGCAATGAGGTCATCATGGTATACAACCACAATTCTATATCTTGTCAACTAATGCGCTTCACCCTAGCCTCACCTCAGCCAAGATCATATACATTAATAACTTACGTGAGTATAGTGCTTTTAAATATTTAAACCCTTTCACATCTATTAGCCGTTTGCTCCTCACAACAACCCTGTGAGGTAGGCAGGTCAGGAGTTGTTACCTAGTTCCCATTTTACAGATAAGGACAGTGGTGTAGAGAGGTAAACTACAATAAATCGCCTCATGTCAGTGACAAAGCCAGGGCTAACTAGCTCTCTGGACTTGGCTCCATTTGTTTTCTATTAAGCCACCTCTCACATATCTGAAAGGTCTTTCAATGAGTGGAGAAACTTGGGTAAAGCAACTGGCATATTATTCCTCCTCCTCTGCATATTCATGGCTCATCTACATTTTTTCTGAGGACGTGGAAAAGTTGCCAGGGTATCAGAAGGCAACTGCTGGATCTGGGCTTCTGCCACTTTAGGCAATACACCCTTTTGTCATCAGTTCCTAACTTTTGGTATTCGAAATTAGCCTCTGAAGCAATTTTTCAAGGCCTAGCTGAAAAGCACCGGTTGCCTCTTCCACTGCCGTCGCCAAGCGTCTGACTGCCATCACGGCATCCCTGCGGAGCTCGTTGGCCGTGTCTTGCTGAGCACTGGCCTCCTCACCAATAGCAATCAGCCTGTCCAATTTTTCTTCCTCACGTTTTGAAAGTTCTCGTGCCAATCTCCTGTTTTCTGCCAATTCAGCTGCAATAGTCCTGGCCACTGACCGCCTTCTTCGCCTCGCCCACCTTGGAGGGGGCTCACTGGTCAAAGGCCTATCCCCACCAGAAACAAAAGAAACTCCGGAGGACATTGGAAGCTGTTGTGTGGAGGCCACCCCAGGAGTGTTCCGGCTGGTGCTGGTGCAAGGACTGGGCTCACCGGACACACCCAGTCTGGTCATGGGGCTGCTCTGACAGGGAGCAACTGCACCTCTGAAAAGGTGGTGGGAGCTGCTGTAGCTGGGGGTCCCTTGAGAACACCCTGAAAAACAAAGCAACAATGTTGCAGAGAGGACTTTCCTGCTAAGGGAATTCTTGGAGCCACTAGCTGAGTTGAGAGACAATTACAAAACTGTGGTAATTCCTGGAAAGGCCTCTTTCCAGAAGGGACTGGGAAGAATTCACTTCCTTAGTCTGGACATTTAGGCTTGTTGTAATCTTACCCTCTAAACCTCCCCCTTGCCTTCCTGAGCCCCTTTCCACTTAGCTACCCAACCCACTCTATACCCACAAATGGGTACCCATTATAAATAATGCCAAAACTAGTTTGGTTCTAGAGTACTTCTTCTGTGTTTAAAGAATTTTAATACCTTACAGACCTAGGGTCATAGCTTTTAAACATCTGGAGCCCTTAATCTTACCATTAGGTTTTTAAAAAAAAAAAAGAGGGCAGGGGGCAGAAAAAGGGACAATGCTGAAAAGAACACCATCCAAACGTATACAGCTGTTTAGAACCAAGTGACTCTGGTACCCCAATCCTTTACATGTTCGGGAATTACCTGCACCTGAGGATTCATCCCAGGAGTCCTCAAGGTCACTGGTTTCTTGCATCTGGTCACTGATTCTCAGTTGACAATCCTCATCTGATTCCTTAACTGTTTTCAAGGTAGGCTGGTGATCTGCTGCCTGAGTCCTTTTTGCTCTCAGAATGCTGGGTCCCTCTTCCCCTGGGGTGTCAGAGGCCACTAAGTTTTGATCGCAGTGCTTGGCCCAAGCAGCATCCTCCATTAAGTTGTCTGGGTCAGTCACTATCTGGTTTCGGAGAAGCTGATCCAACGTATCATAGAATGGACAGTGTGGCGGATCGCCCATACTTGTGGCATGGGCCACATATGCCTTTAGATACAACGCCTTCAGAACTTTAAACTTGGAGCGGCACTGACGCTCGGTACGGCGGAAGCCTTCCTGCTGCATCCGCTTAGACACAGCCTGATAGACATCTGCATTATGATGCACAGTCTGGAGGCGCTGAATATACTCTGCCTCGCCTAGTATGGAGAGAAGAGTTCGTGTCTCCTGTCTGGACCAGCGGATGCCCGCACTGCTATTGGAACTGGCCATAGTGGATAGGAAGGAAGGCTAGCGGAAGGAAGCTCCTGGGCAGCAAGGCGCAAATCTGAAGGCGTGGGGAAGCGCTGGGTGCTCTCAGTCTATTTCCAGAAGCCAGCCGATTCTTCCCTCTCGGGGCTAATTGCTGAGGAGCCAGGTCCAAAGACTGAATTTCTGGCTGGAAGGCCACAGGGGAATGAGAGTTACAGGGAGGGCGTAAAGAAGCAAGTTAAGCGGTGCTACCTCTAAGTAGGTCGTGAGCAGGCAGGATGCCAAGACTGAGAAAGCCCAACTTTGGACGTGTGCCCAGGATGGACAGTGGACCAGGGGCTAAAACGGGACTTACTGGCTTGATAACAAGGGGACTGGCTCCTCCACAAAGGCCAGTGCTTCCAAGGCTGAGACCTGGTACAACTGTGTGTCTGTAAAAATCACCATTGTCTTGTAAGTAGACAGACCGAGGGGGGAAATACCCAGAGCGTGGGGCACCTCACTCTGGAGACATGCTAGCAGGACCATGGTGCAGTGGTTTGTGTGAAGGGCGCTCATCCTTTACTAACCTTGGCCTAAGCAGCATGCCTTGGCTATGTATTACCCCTCTGACAGTCATCATTGCACTCCTTTGTTAAAAAGTAACTTTCGGGGCCGGAAAAGAAGCTTAAGTTATTCCTGTTAATACAAAGCTTTCTGCATAATATGGCAGAAGACAACCACATCATTACTCCAACTGTTTGCCCCAAAATAGCAGCATAAAACAAACAGGGCTACCAGGAGACAGATCCATGGACATGTTCTGTATCTTGACTGTACTAATGTCACCATCTGGCTGTAATGCAAAACTACAGTTTTGCAAGTGCTAGCATTGGGAGGAAGTGGTAAATCCACTAATATATTGGATCTCTTTGTATTATTTCTTATAATAGTATGTAATTACCTTAAAATAAAAAGTTTAATAAAAAAAACATTGTTGGCTGCTTACAGTAAATCTAGATTCAACATATATCTACAACTCCCTTTTCAGTTTATAATTTGAAAATTTTTGACACTAATTTATTATCATCATCACAAAAATCTGAAATATCTCCAAAATACTACTAGTTTTTGGCTTAGTGCATAGATATTGGAAGGAAAAAAATAAACGTCAAATTCAGTTTAACTAAACACAGGTAAGGGATAATAAAAAAAAAATTGTACGCAAAAAAACAAAACAAAACAAAAAAACTATTAAATTTAATCTATAATCCCCAAACCCTAGAATCAATTTAAGGAAATTTCTACTTAAATTCTCAACTGAACAACATAGAAAGGAAACAACCTGAGCTAAGGATTAGAAGTCTTGAACTGCAGTCCTGGTCTAGTTCACCCCCCCTAACCAATTTAGGAATACCATAACTTCTATGTGCCTTGATGTTCTCATCTATAGATGGGGAGGGATAAAAACCTGCCTTACCAATCTTACAGGGATTTGAGAGGATTAAATAAAATAATAGATGTGAAAGCACTTTGAAAATTTAAAAACACTATATCAAGTATTACCACTCCCATGAAAATGAAACCCCCTAATTATTATGGTATCTATAATTTGAGGAGACAGGAGTCTGAGGAAGCAAACCTCTTTAATCTTTTAATTAAAGCTACAACAGATGATTAATCTGATTCTTACTTAAGACGTTAATTAAGCTGTTTCTCTAATGATTAATTTTGTAAGCCACTGGAAAAGTTAGTTCCCAGAAAGTGTTACAAAAGGACCCGAGGAAGAAAATCAATAGCATCTACATAAATTATGACCAAATATATAGATTTTGCAAAATTCAACTATAGTGCAAAGAAATTGTCAAATTTCCACAAAAATCTTTCAAGTTCCCTCAATTAAAAAACACAGAAACGTGAAAAGTCCAAATTACCACCTCTGAATGACACAAACTGTCAAAACTAAAGGAATGTTGGCATTTACCCATACTAACAGGGCTGTCAGCAAGAAACAGATGTCTGAGTGAATCCCATCCTTGAGAAGACTCAACACTAATCATCAAAAGAAACAACCTACTGGGGTACTTTCTGAAATGACAGTCATAAAAGCCAACAAAAAAGCAAATGGTTTCTAGTTTCATTCCACATTATGCTGAGGATGTATAAACACATTTTTATTACCATATGTAAATTATTTTACTCCATACCTCCTGCCAAGGATCTGCTTTACTTTCACTACTGTATTTGAAATATTTCTTATTCTACTTTGTTTTGCTGCCAATCCAACAACCTGAAAAAGAGAAACACATTACAATGCATGTAATTTTTACTTATTTTAAAGTACAAAAATGAGGGGGAATAGTACCTCTTCATTTTCTGAGTAAGCAACAATAGCTGGAGTAACTCTGTCCCCTGCATCATTTGCAACCACATCAGCCCGGCCATCCTGGAGAAAAATACAGAACTATATTAGTTGTTTTGAAATGAAATAGTCTCATTGGACAAATTCGGGCCAGTGTTACTTTGCATATACATGGAAAGAAAAAATGCTCTATCAACATTTTAAACTTGTAGATTTAATTGCCGCTATTAATCTCCTGGATTGTCTGTAAGGCCAACATTCCATGAAGAACTGCCTCATTTTTTATAGTCTTCTCTGCCTAGTCAATAATTGGAACAAACATAACAGCAATCTTTCCATATACAATTATAACAAGTCTTATCACACCACCGTTTCTACTTCTCTTCCTTCCCCTATAAATACATAATTCTTTTCTTTTCTACATATAATGAAGTTGCACTAATCCCTTTGGCTTTTCCTTACACATCATTTGACACTTAAACGCGAGACTACTAGTATCAGGGGAGTTCACTAGTATTGCTCCTTCCGCCTCCCCACTGATGAGAGGAAGGCCACAACTCCTTGTCACGCTCCCTCATTTTCAGAAAGGCCAAGTCAGTAGACCACGCACCATCAACTCGCTTCACATGCTTCGCGGGATCAACAGCTCCAGTTCCAGATCGCAGCCACCCCGCCCTTTCCTGGTAAACGTCCAGAAATCTCCAGGTCTCCTGCGGTCACTACATCCCCGAGATCTTTCAAGCATCCTGCCGCCTGACGTCCCCAGGACCGTCCCCCTGCAGACCTCCCGCGCCCACGACGTCCCCGAGACCCATCCCGGCCTCCTGCGGCCCTGACGTCCCCGGACCCCGCGCTCCAGCGTCGTCACGACCCTCCACCAGGGCGCAGCTGGCTTTCCGGAGCCGCAGAAGACGAGGCGGGGTCCGCCTGGTTCTTCGCCTCGAAACTTCCCCGCAGTACCGTCTCCCCGCGCGACGTTCCTAGGCCGGCGACAAGCGGTTCACAACCCCGTAGGATGACCAAAGGATTTGGCTCCGTACTCAGAGAACGGGGTGGCTGACATTCAGCCCACAGACCAGCCCCATTCCCTCACCTTATAGACGGCCACACAGGCTGATGTGCAGCCCAGGTGAACTCCGATGGCCGCCATGAGGCGGCAGCGACGGCGGCAGTGGTGAAGAGCGGTACCCGGGTGGCTACAGGTCTCTGGCTCCCAGCAGCCCCATCAGGCACCGCGGAGACTTCACGTTCCCGCCCGCCCACTGCGTCCGGTCCAAACGCCGCGGCCTCCCGCGTCGTCGCCAATCAGCCTGGAGGTCCCGCCCCCCTCTCCAGCAGTAGGCGAATAGCTTTAGTGCGTCTCTCCCCGCCCCGCTGAAGCGACACAGCGTGTGCGGTAGTGCGCACGCGCCAGTTGGGGAAGGCAAGGAAAAGGCTCCTTCGCTCCGCTCTGTGATTGTGAGAGCCAATAGAAACTCTGGATTGAGTTGTGTCATTTGCCCTAGCAACGGCGGGCTCACTCCTCTTTCCAGCGTCCTGTAGCTGCCCCCGGCAATAGCAGCGAGGCTGTAGGTGGGCGCAGGTGGCCGAGGTGTTTGGTGCTGTTGGCTCAGCATGTGGTGCACGAGCCCAGCTGCAGTTGTGGCCTTTTGCGCCGGGCTTTGGGTCTCTACCCCGGTGCCAGCACAGGGCCAGGAGGCCGGGGGGCGGCCGGGGGCCGACTGTGAAGGTGAGCGGTGTGAGACCTGCTTGCATGGCGGTGGCACCGCGCTGCAGCGCAGCTGTTGTCGGTTTTGGCTTCTTCTGGCCCTGACTATTAATAACATTTCACTTAGGTAACGTGGGCTCTGTCCCTAGTTTCCGATTGCCTTCGCCGTCGCCTAGGCAAAAGTTCAAGCCCGGCCAGGTGACACTTTTAGGCTGCGTCCTAGTCTTGCTGTGACTATTAAACTGCCATGTCAAAGCTGGTGCGTTTGGATCTGGGTTTGATTTTGTGTAAACGCGGCTAGATTCAGACGACCCTGGCGCCAAATTGATTCTGCTGCTTCTAACCGGTGAGATTTGCCTCTCTTTGCGCAGGAGATGTCTTTCAAGTTCAAATTAGTTTCCAACACTTAAAAGGAAAATAAAACATGACACATTGTCTGTAATTGAGTTGAGGTGGCTTCAATCAGAGGACATGACTAACGTTTCTTAGGACATTACATGGAAAAGTTGCTTTACATGGGAGTACGTTAACTCCTTAGAAAGAGGAGGAATACAGAACGATTCCTTTTCTATTCGCAGATCTCAGCTGTGGACGGACTTGCAGTCAGAACACTGTGCCCTGTGGCTCTGTGGTAGACTTACCTGGTTCTCGCAAAATCGTAGTGATAATACCTCTTTCAGAGGGCTGTTAACATCAAAGAAGATAATTAGCTACACTAGCTCCATTCTCCTGCATTCCTGTATCGCTCACCTCTGCATTTCATTCATTGACATAATTTAAATGTATATCCTCACCCTCATGTGAGCTTGCGAATCAATCATTATCCAACAGGAAATTGTAGGTTCACAGTATATGTTGAATGGATGGTTGAGTATAGTCTGTATTATAACTGAACAAAATCTGAAGTACTGGAGTCCAGTGTTCTACCAGTCCTGCAATAATTAAACTCTCTTTCCAGAAACTAAAATTATCTACATGATGTTATTTAAAAACAAAACAAAACACTTTATATAGATATTTGTTTAGCTAAGCTATAATTTTGTTTAAACATCGCTTACAGTTCTGTCCTACACATTTAAAGCAGAATTTGTGAGGCATAAACACTTGATTAGTCATCAGTAATTTATTTTCTGAACTGTTTTAGGTAATTAAATGTGAAGCTTATGCCATCTTTCCTGAATTTATTACAGTGCGTCTGTAATAAATTTATTAACTTGCATGTCTGACTAACCTGGGTGTATATTTCCCTTGTTAGATAAAGAAGCTCTAGATTCACAGAGAAGGAAATACTAGTCTTAGACCAAGAAGGACTAGATTCTAGATCTGGCTCAATTACTGCATATGAGCTTTATCATTAGCCATTTAATTTCCCTCAAGGTATAAGATTAAAATGCTATATTATATATACTTTAGGGCAAAGGTAAAAAACTGATAGTCTATGAGCCACCTGGGACCTCCTGAAATATTAAGTTTACAAAGTATTTTGAAAAACATTTAAATAAATCGACTATGTTTTAAAATTGGAAGACTGCCTATTTAAAAATTCAGATTTGTGCTTTTTCTGGCAATACCGGGTGACCTGTCAAGACTATATGTCCATGTAGCGGGAATTAGCCATGGCTGTTTTTAGAAAGGACATGTGTTCTCTGGGTTTTTGTTTCTGTTTTTCCTACACTCGGATTTCTTTACCCATTTATTTTACTTGCCTGGCTCCTGTGAATGTTTAAGTTTCTGAGCCCTGCTTTAGATCATGTGAGACTTACTGGAAAAATGTAAACATTTCTGGATCTCTTTAAAAGGATTTTATTATGGGAGTGTTTTAAAATTTCTTTTATTTTGAAATAATTGTAGATTTGCTTATGGGGCTATTTTAAAAAACAAAAAAACCCCACAACATAAATTAAAAAGAGTATAGTTATCTGGTTATAGCAATAAATACATGTCAGGAACCTTAAATTACTAATTTGTTAGGCAATTTATGGTGAGATTATTCTCTTCACGTAAGCTCAAGGAATAAATTTCCATTCTTATCTTGACTTCTCTGACATGGGACATCACTGACTTCTTTCTCTTTCGGAAACTTCCTTCCCTGGATGGCATTGATATGGCCTTTTTCTTGCCTTTGCTTCCTGTCCCTGTGCCCACTTGTTTATGTATCTTTCTGGCTCTCTAGCCATGGCTTCACTATTAGAATTTTCCAGAGTTCTGTCCTCTGCACGCTTCTCTTCTTGGCCTACACACTCTTGTGTGCAATCAGAATTGACCTATCTATAGTCTGATTAATTCCCAATGTTTCTATCTAATCCACCTCCTTTCTACAGTCCTAGACCTCGCATCCAATTGACTACTGAACATTCCCACGTAGATATCTTATTCCTCAAACTCAACAGAGTCACGAACCAAAATCACCATCTCCTCCCTTCTCAGTCTCCAATACCTGTTATGCTTGTGGTGTCAGTATCTGGGTCAACTAGGCTCGACTTCTCTTTATCCCTGATTCTCTACGCCCATCAGTCCATTGATTCTATCTTCTGGTTCACTCCTTACTCCCTCCCCAGCTCCATTGTCTTGTTACAGACCGTCACTATTTCTACCGTCCTCACTGGCGCAACAGCATCCTTCGTGCCACCTTCCTCTCCCTAGTCCCCTGGCAGTTGATATCATGTTGCTCCCTTATTTAATATCTTTCAGGGCTCTCCCACTTTCCCCTAGGTAGGAGACTCCTCTTTGTTTTCCCACAGTATCTAATATACTTCTCATAGTGTTCAATAATTGTTTTGGTCTCCTCCATGTGAGTATTTCTTGAAAATCAAGGCTGTTTCTCTTGCCACATCATCTCCATCTACAGTGTGAAGCATATGGTAGGCACTAAATTTTGTTGAACAAATATATGCATATATGCTGCAATAGCATTTTATGTAACTTTTAGTGAGCCAAAAGTATATCTTTGAAAGTACAAGTTAGAATTCCCAACTTGCATCATCTAGGTAATAATGGGCAGAGCAACAGTTGCGGTGTGGAAATCACATGGAGGTGTATTGTGGGACTAGTGTTAAGCGTAGGAGGCATTGTAACACTGGGTTTCTTTTGTAGGACGATGAGAATTAGAGGTCACTGGGAGACTTTATTGCTAGTTTCTGCTGCCTTGTAGCATTGATCATCACGGCAGGTGTCTCCTTTGTATACTTGAGATATTTGCTAATTAAACTTAGCAAACTACCTATTGGCAGTGTCTCATTTTTCACATTCTGTCAGTAGCATTTAACACATCCTATTGGTCAGTCCCTCCTTTGAACACTTTTCTTTATTTGTCTTCTGGGAATACACTCACTCTTCACTCCCACCCTACCACTCTATACCCTTTTCAGTCTTTTTCTCATTCTTTCTCATATTCCCAGTTTCTAAACAATGGAGTTTCACAAGACCTGAGGCCATGTCTCTTCTCTCTGGTCTCATCTCCTAAATACCACTTAAATGTTGAGGACTTACAAGTGTAGTATGTAGACCTCACCCCTTAACTCCAGGTTTATGCGTCCAGCTGCTTCTCACTGTTTCTAGTTGGATTTTGCATTAGTCAGTGTTCTCCAGAGAAACAGAACCAATAGGAGAGATAGATAAATGATAGATAGATAGATAGATAGATAGATAGATAGATAGATAGATAGATGATAGGTTTATTATAAGGAATTAGTTCACCTGATTGTGGAGGCTGAGAAGTCCAAAATTTGCAGTGGGGGCTGGCAGGCTGGTGGCCCAGGAGAGCTGACGATGCAGATGAGGCCTGAAGGCAGTCTGTTGGAGAATTCCCTCTGGCTTGCGGAGGCCAGTTTTGTTGTTGTTCTATTCAAGACTTCAACTGATGGAATGAGCTTATCCATGTTATAGAGGACAATCTGCTTAACGCAAAGTTCATCTTATTCAACAGCAACCTCCAAGTGGATACATAAAATTAAGTACCACAAATGTTTAGAAGTATCTCAAACTTCACATGTCGAGACTGATTTCCTGCTTGTCTCCACCAACTTGCTTCTCCTGCAGTCTTTCCATTTTAGCAAATGGCAACTCCACTCTTCCAGCTTCTTAGGTCACAATCCTTGGAGTCATCCTGGCATCTATCTATCTATTTCATCTATCTATCTATCTATCTATCTATCTATCTATCTATCTATCTATCTATCTATC